TAAATGTCAACTTGGTCAACAAGAGTTGCACAGTAAAAATAAAAAGATAGTAGTCATCTAATAAATAAAATTTTCACTCAGAGCACATTTTGTTTACTAATTTTTCTATTTTTTCCTTATTTCATTCTATTCTTGCAATAAAACTTTGGGTATGTGGAGTAAGTATGAGCTCCTTTTTAAAGCTAATTTCTTTACATCAAATTTTGGACAAGTTTATTCACCAATTATCTCCTCTCCACTTCCATGAAACCTTGCTTTTATAGAGTCACCCAGTTAATAAATGCTAGTGTTAGAATCAGAACTGAGGCAATACAGGTAATGTTGTATATATACCCACTCATTTATGTTCACAGGGACCTGGGTCAGCATCTTATCACGAAAAACTTGAATATTTCTCAATATTCAATAATATGATGGTCTTAATTAAGTACATAAAGATCATGAAGTGTAATAAATGAAAACCATACCATTGCATCTATTCATCTCAGGTGTTGATGTCAAATAGTTTTGAGAGGTTCTTGGATTTGGGAGTGCAAATAAGGGATTAGGGGGTGTATATTCCTCTCGCTCTGGTGCTATCCACCACTTTGTGAAGCAGCCAATCATTTAATATGCAATGATTACTTGCACACTTTTTCTCTCTTGCCTCAAAACTTCTCTGGACAGTAGACAAGCTATTGGTGGTCTGCAGAGAAGACATTAACCTTAAGTACTTTCTTCTGCCCAAGAGAAAATTCACTACTAAGAGCTCTACTACACTTTACACAAGGTCATTCAAATAATGTTTTCACCTGTTTCTTCCTGGTCAAAGAAAGGAGGAAGAAAAACAAGACAAGGCCATATCATGGAATCCAAGAGGGAGAATTAATTGGTGTCAAAGACAGCAACAGAGTGCCTTGAACTGTAAAATGCTTTGAAGAGATTGAAGATGGTAAGGACCATGAAGCTTTGACCTTGACAACCGGAAATTCAGTGACATTTGAGGGAGAAGTTTTCTCAAAAGCGTGGAATGGGAACCAGAGTGTAAAGAGTAGAGCAGCATGTAGATGGTGGTGAAGCCAATTGTAGATCTAAATTTTTTGAGATGGGGGCCTCATGTTGCCCAGGCTGGTCTTGAGCTTGCAAGCTTAACCTGTCATCCTACATCAGCCTCCCAAGTACATGGCACTACGAGCACACACAACCATGACCGGCTTAGAGATTTATTTTTTAATTAACCAGGGTCAATGTCCTTAAAAACCTTAAAATCTTTCTGTTTAGAACCTGTTTTCTCTTCCTTTTTCCTTATCCAGGAATGACAATACCACATGGTGATACATACAAAGTTTGATCATTATCATTCTAAGTCCAACAACTCGTTACTTTAATAGGTTCTTGTTTTGCAGTGTTTTGCAGTGTTGGGACGAACCAGAGCTTCACACATGTTAAGAGGTCTCCACTGAGACACAGCTCACTGCTTTCTTTTATACTGTTATGTTTAATATTGGCTAGTTCTCATGAAAAATATGATGAAACTATACAGAAAAAAATCATTAATGACATTTACAATTAATCTACAAAACAAGTCCAGATGTTGCCACCAGTTAATTTTTTTCTGTATTGATGTTTGCAGATGCTCTTTCCAGTTTCATCAAGTAGTTTTTGCCAAGGACCTGGACAGTGAAACGACAGCTACATTTCCACTTACCTTACAATATTTTGTTTCCAGTACATATCACCTTGCAATGTGTTCCCTCATGGCACATTACATGATCATTAAATTAAAAATGAGAAGTGTGTTTGATGATTGACTGCTCTCTAATTACCCAGTGTTTGTCAAAGGCAGTAGGCAGGAGACAATCTCTTTTGCTGTTATATTGTCAAGGTCACAGCACATCTCTACTAGTGTAAAAAACTTCCCTGACAAGGATGTTTGGGGAACAGGCCTTTCCCAGTGGAAAATGAAGAAAATGACCTGGTATCCAAATGGGTTCATCCCATGCTTTCAAAATAAGGAGCACTTCTAAAAATCAGTGTTTGTCAACTTTTCCCCATAATTAAGACATTTATAGACTTTTCCTAACAGCACTCCCATGAAACTTAAATACCTTAGATACACTGCTCAGCTGTTTCTATATTAAGATCCTGTGGAAGGACATAATCCATTGTGCTATATTGAATTCTGCCTCCACACCATGCACAACTTATGCTCTGTCAAGAATGCTTGTCTTGCACGCTTCTTGCTAGCACACACTGACTTACTTCAGATGATGTTTTACCAGTCAGTCTTCTATGTGCAAACTCATAGGATTCTGGAGTATACAGCTCAAGAGGGTGTATGATTAAAAATGATTCTTTAGTAAGGCGTATCTTGCCAACCAAAAGACTGAATCTCATTTCTCACCTACAAATAAGGAGGCCCTAGTAATATTAAAGAGCATATGGTTGCCAAGATAAAATGGTGTGCATGTCAAAAATGTTGTACAGCTCCTGAATTAAAATTCCTCCACTTACATACAGATTTTGCTTCCAGGAGTAAGACTATGAACTTGTGACAGCTACCATCTCATTTGCTTGTTTATTGGTACACATTTATCAGGCTCTGGCTATATACATTTCCAGTTCCATGAAAGCAGGGACTGTGCCATAAAATTTAAAAAGATGAAAGGGAGAAGGAAAGAGGGAGACAAGGAACTGTGCTATACGACTTGAACACTAAGAATACTATATTTGGTATGAAGACTCAGACTGGCAAAGAAATAAATGAGTAAAATGAAGCATTATAATTGTGTAACTACAGGGAGGTCAAAGCAATGATTAATTCTATGTGGTTGGAAGGTGGGGCCAAAGTGAAGTGGTTTACAGAAATGTTCAGAGACAAGATTGCACTAAGACTTGTGAGCACTAAAGTGTTCTTGACTTTGTGGGCTCCTTCTTACATAAAAATATATATTTTAGAATAATATGACTTTGGTACAACAAAATGAGTATAAATACCTGGTTGCTTTGGAGGCGTAGAGCTGGGAGGCTAATCAAGGTAAGATGGTTAAGTGAGAAAGACACTAAAGACAATCTGGAAGAGGCAAGGGAGGGAGGAAAAGGCTTGTGCAAGGCCTGGGAAGGAGAAATCTAAGGATGACTACAGAAGGAAAAAGGAAACAGAGGACACTGGGGTAAAAGAGACACACAGATGGAGACAGAAGAGAAAGGTTGATAAATGAAGTTAGAGAAAGGGTAAAGGTCAAACTACCCCAAGTCCTTGACTAGTTTTAAGGGCTGGGGATTTAGCTCAGTCAGGGGTTCTGCCACCTGCCTCGCAAGCCCAAGGACCCGAGTTTGATTCCCAGTATCAAAAAAAAAAAAAAGATTAGTTTTAAAAGGATTAAAGGTGTAGGGAAAGTGGGAAGGGTAGGGGAAAGGGAACAATGGAAAAGAAAAAAATATGAGAAAATAAAAAATGGAAACAAAGTGTTTGTAAATGGGGAGGGGGGTTGAAGGGAGAGCAGGGACAAGGGGAAAAAATGAGAACCAAGACCTGTCATGTAAAGGTACAAGATCCCAGTGATGAATGTAACTGTACTGCATACCTAAAATGTACCAATAAACTCAATAAAAAGAAAAAAAAAAGGATAATGAGAAGCCATTTAAAAGTCTCCATTTTAGAAGCTAACAACACCATATTTTCATTTTGGGGATTCATTCAAGCTCCACTGCAGCCAGTGGGCCGGCAGATCCTCCAGGCTTCTCTAGGTCCAGGTACCCATCCCCAGCTGCTGTGAATATTAGCTGTTGAAGGTGCACAACCCAGTCCTTCGATGAGAATTGTACCCAGGCACAGTGAGCTCCCTTTCTCAAGAGGAGACCCTTCTCCCAGAGCACCTATATCTGTGAATAACTATCGTGGAGACAAAGGGCCCAGGCAGGCCATGGACAACCCAAGCTCTTGTGTTCCTGAAGGCTGAGGCCTCTGTTGTAACTGTGTTGTTGATTACTTTCCTCCTTCCCTAATCCTACTCTGTTAATTTCCTGTTGCTTAAAAGCACATTACTGTGAACTTAATGGCTTAAAACAATACACATTTATCAGCCCAATGAGTCTGTGGTCAGGAGCCCAGGCACGGCATAGCTGCATTCTCTCCAAGCTGGAAAACTGTTTGAGGCTACAGGTATGTTTAACCCGATTGAAGCATTACACAATGTATATACATATCAAAACATCACGTGGCAAATTATACATATATAGTTTTTATGTTTTATGTGCCAGGTAAAAAAAAAAAGTAAATTTAAATTTAAAAAATTAAGCCCAAAACCTACAAGGTGTCTTCAAGCAAGGACACAGATTATGCATAACTAATAAAAATAAGACTCATCATGTTCCACAGAGTGAAAATAACTCTCAGAATATAATCAGCCACACAATCATAAAGAGGTGATTACTGCTTTATTAAGTTAGCATAAATTGGACTTTCACAAATTGCAGAAATAGTCAATGAATAGAACTACCCTATTGGAGACTGGAATTCAGAATATATATAAGAAACTGTTGGCATGAGAACAGGACAAAACTCCACCCTGTAAGTAAGCATTTACATTTTTTATCCATCTCATTTAAAACTGTTTACTTTTGGGGCCGGGGATTTAGCTCAGCGGTTCGGTGGCCTGCCTCACAAGCGCAAGGACCCGAGTTCAATCCCCGGTACCAAAAAAAAAAAAAATTGTTTACTTTTGCTTACCTAGTCATACACAGAGCAATATCAACAAGATTCAAAAAGGATCCATTTTCAATGACTGCTGTACCATGTTGTAGGTTATCTCCACTGGGAAAACTTTCCTTTACATTTTCAAAGTGTGAAATATATATATTATACATATATATATATATATTTCTGGCTTTATTTCTAGAAATGCTTAAATCAGTAACTACAAGTGCCACATGACTACATTTACACAATGTGTCGTGAGGAAAAAATACATTTGAATAGTCTGAATAGTCGACACCTTACAATTTTAGTGGTCTTTATGGGTATAGTTGATTACTTATCACTTTCAAGAACATTCAAGATTTCTTCCAAAAAACAATGGTGAAATAAAATATATGACCTGCCCTTGGTAATCTGGGATTCTTAGCAGTAGCACAGAAATAAGTGTTAAGTTTCTTGGAGAAGCAGAACAGCATCCCCTCAAAGAGGGGTGAGCCGCTCATCCTCCGTCATGAAGACGTCGTTAACGAGCCCTCCTTTCATGTCCAGGGAATCACAAGCGATGCTATTTGCAATTGTGGCCATGTTTTCAAACTTGTCCTCTGTGTCATCGACTTCAGATGATCCTTTGTTCTTCCTAAAAGCACATAAACAGTGATTGAGGTCTAGGAGAAGAAAGCATGCTGAGTAAGGTCTTCTTACAGACATGGAGAACAGAAATGGGCGTGGAAATAATTGACAATTTTGTGTATTTTCAAATAAATTTTGAAAATCATAAAGTGTTGGTGAAGTTAAAAGACACTATCAAGATAAGAATTCTAGGGCAAGGGATTTTAGCTCAGTGATTCCAGGGCCTGCCTCGTAAGCGCAAGGACCCGAGTTTGATCCCTGGTACCAAAAAACAAAACAAAACAAAAGATAAGAATTCTGCATGAATGACATATACACATAGATTGGAACAGGTGGTCTTATTTAGAACACTAATATATATATATATATATGAATATATATATATATATATACATATGAGAATTAATATGTGTGAACACAAACATATACATATGTACATTCACATAGACAAATTACTGGAAGAAAGGTGAGGAAAATGGATGATACACTGGCAAGTTGAAAAGTTTAGGTCTAGGAGAACTTAATAAAAATACATTTTAAAAATAATAAAGTTGTCAGGTTTTGACAAATTAAAACAAATTTTGAGTAAAAATTAAATTGAAATGAAATATTCAGATGTAAACTCACATTACTTCATAAAAAGTAATTGTTGTAAGTTATAGATATTATCAGCTGGCTCTAATCATTGCAAAATTGTTATGTTAATTTATTAGACAGGTTTTGGGGGACTCTGAAAATATTTTCCCAATTACATTACAGCCCACTGCTGCAATTCCAAGTCATTCTGAAAAATTCTACATGACAGGTTACATTTTTTAGTTTCTCACACTTTGATCCTTTGTAGACCCTGCTATCCCAACCCAGGTGTTAACCAGATTCTTAATTTCCTTGCAGAGTGGAAAGATATGACCTCAAAATTGAAAGCTTTTCCTGTCTGTTGTGAAAGACTGACACTGCACAAATTCTGTTTGCTATTATGGGGTAAGGAAAAGAAGAGAGATGGCTGGTTCCAGGTAACCAGAGAAAGGGTTTCCCTGAGGCTTAGATGCTGAGACACCACTCTGGGGTAGCACCATGGACACATATTAGGCATGAGACTCCAGTCTTGCCAAGGATTCTCTTGGACTTGCTGGGCATGGCTGTGGTGATCAGAGTGGACTCCCAGCACTGTGGGGATATCTTAAGACCATGAAGAGTCTCTGATAGGCAAGGAGGTGCTGCAGATGTCTCATGACAATCAAGTTGGAATTTCCTGTTTGTCCCACAATGTGCTTTAAAGAATACAGTAGAAGGAACGGGAGAAAAGAGAAAGCTCTTCTTTACAGAAGAATGCCAACTAATGTGAAAAGAATAACAGAAGTTGAAAAAATCATAACTGCAATAATACGTGATTCTGACAAGGCTCATAAATGGAGTGAGAGATGGTTGAGGAACAGGACAGTCATATGGTCGCAGAACATGAGCCTCACAAGTAATATACTGTACTGATTACAAAAAGGCACTTGCATTTTTCCAACAGGGAAATCTGGTGAATACAGCAATGATCAGCCAAACTGACAAGTCCCTCCATGTATGATACAGAGTAGATCCTAGACATTTATTTTTTCTGTATTCTTTCCCTCCCCCTCTGTTTTTACCTGAGTATCATAATGAGAAACAAATCAGAAAAATCCAAATTTAAAGCTATTTCGTAGAACAACTGACTTGGACTTAGCCTAGAATAGGCACTCAACTTGGTAGATGACTCAGTGAATAAAGACCAAAGGCTGACTGTCTGAATACCAAATTAGTAGATGGATGGCTATTTGAATGGATAGAGGACAGACGGATGGACGGATGGACGAATGGATGGAGGGATGGATGGATGGATGGATGGGGATAGATGGATGGATTGACTATTGCTATGAGCAAAGTTACTCAAAGATTAGTCCAAGGTCATTTTATCTTTGGTACTGGGGATTGAACTCAGGGCATTTGCCCTGAGCTACATCCCCAGTTCTTTTCTACTTTTATTTTGAGGCAGGTCTCACTAAGTTGCTAAGTGACCCAAGCTGGACTTGAATCTGTGACCCTCCTGCCCCAGCCTTCCAGAGTTACCATATTACAGGCATGGGGCACCAGGCGTAGCTCCAAGGTAGATTTTGAATTAGATGCACCACAAGAAACAGGAAGGAAGGAAAGAAGGAGAGTATATACACCCATTTCTTTTATTTCTTGTATTTTTTAATGGAGGAATAAAAATAGTCACTTTCCTTCATTAGGAATTAGGACTTAGTATGGATTTTACCAGAATTTGGTGATGATTTATCATGCATTTTTAAGGAGTTGAAGTTCATAAAGAAAAGTAAAGTAGAATTCTAATACTGTAGATTGCAATGACATGAATTAAAAGTACTTAGTCATGGTAGATGCCAACATCAAATTGCACAAGCAGCACTTCAGACAATCGCAAAATTGAGGTTTTAAATATTAATTTATAGGGCCGGGGATTTAGCTCAGTGGTTCTGCCAAGGACCCGAGTTCGATCCCAGGTACCAAAAATAAATATTAATTTATAAAACTTTTGGCTAATTATAGGTTGGAAGTTGGGAGTTATAGTCCCAGAGACGTAGAAAAAGAAAGGTGGCTGTGTTTTCTTTGCCATTCTCAGGGTGAAAACACTTTGCTGGCCATTCCAAACATCAGCAGTCAGGGACAAAGCCAGGTTGGGTATATTAGAGTATAATGTGACGAGAAGGTCCTCCAGCCTCCTTCTGGAAGATTAGAGCATTTTACCCCTCCTCTAGTGGACAGAAGTACCGCCACTTTGATGTCCTCCAGAGAGCAACCATCAGTCATATCACTTCCATTGAGAGTATCCAGCATTCCTTACCATATGGAAGAGATGCAGTCTTTCTCCTAAAGGAAAGGACTCAATGCAAGGGGAAAACTACAAATTTACGTATTTTCCCTATCTTCATTTTAATGCTTTCTAAAAGACAGGAGTGACATTTCACAGGAACAAAACTCTGGTAGGAATTGTAGGTTTATAAATTATCATCCAAAAATGCCTGCTCCTGCAAATTGCCTCCAAATTATTCCTTAATGGGCCTGGAGTTAATAATTTTTCATTAATAATAAACAGAGTTTGGCTGGGCGTGGTGATGCACGCCTGTAATCCCAGCACTCAGGAGGCTGAGGCAGGAGAATCGCTGTGAGTTCGAGACCAGCCTGGACTACGTAGTGAGTTCCAGGTCAGTCTCAACTACATAGTGAGACCCTGTCTCAAAAAAACAAAAACAAAAATAATAATAATAAACAGAGTTTAAACAATCAAATCCTACCCTGAAGTTTTGTGTGTGCAAATCCATGTTACAAAAATCGTAGTGAATGGGACATTTTGAAGTAGCTGGCAATGCAATGGCACCTGTAGAAACCCTGGGTTGCCAGTGTCTATTTACCAGTTCCTTCAGTAAAAGACATTTTCATAGAGTTAGAAGAAAAGTGGCAGGGAGTGGATGTGAGCAGATCAATGCCAGGCATTTCACTTACCCCTCCCCAGCCACAGAGGAAAAAGAATCTATCTGGCATCACAATGAATGCTCAAGAACTAAACCAGAAGATGCAAACAGATGAGGAGAGGTTTCTCCTCTTTTAAAAAAGGGACATTTTGCAAACAAAAAGATTCTAAGGGGCATCGCTGTGGAAATGTATCAAATTGAGCTGTGTCAGTAGTAAATTAGGTACATATCATTTTTGTTTTGACCTTAGATCCAGCTGTTCAGAGTCTTGGCATTGCTGGGCTTTACTAACTGCAATGTCAGTAACTTGCTGCCTGGTAGATGTGATAAGCAGCTCAAAGGTTATCTAACAGTAATAAAGCACTTTGTCACATTTCATGGAGTGTGCTATAATAAACTGATTCACTGCCTGTGCACTGCTCTTACTAAGAATAATAAAACTTAACTGTCTTTCTAGATCATTCTGATTTTATGTTCTGCTAAAAACATGAGTCCTTTTGCCTGAAGAATACAACTGAGTGTTAATGACTTCCGCTGCCTACAACATCAGGTGGTTCAGGAAGAGGATGAAAAACCTGTGACTAAACTACCTCCTAGGAGCCTTCAGAGCGGGTATCTCTCATAAATCCAAAAAGAAGAGGGGCAATAGAGGGGACAAAAGAAGTCAGTGGCCTTCAGAGTTGGGGGTGTAAAAGACAGGGTTTGCTCTGTTCTGAGACAAAGTAATGGTAAAAAGTATATATATAGAAAGGGTATTTCTGGGTCCTTTTAAGCAAAATAGGGCCAAAGAGCTAAGGTCTAAGAATACCCAGAAAAACAATAAAGGACAGATGTGATTTTCAAACAAGATAGAATTCTTGGGGAATTGGTATTGTCCTCATTATCAGCCTAAAAAATTCCTGGGGAAAACATCAGTGTTACTAGCATGATTTGAGTGAGCAACACAGGATACTGACAGGCTATGGGATCCAGTCTATTTGGTCTTAAATCCTGGTACCACAACTTTCTAACCACGTAACCATTTTACAAATTGTTTTACATCTGCCCTGTTATAGCAATAGTGACAATGATAATATCTATTACACGGCAGAAATCATATTGGGCACATTGTATATATCATCTCATTTAATTCCCACTCCAATATTGTGCAGGCTTTATAACCATCCCCGTTTCTCCTATGAAGAAACTAGGTTTCAAACATGTAGAGCCACTGGTCTTTCAGAATGGAACAAGATTAGTGAAAGGAGCTGACCGAGAATTCTATTTCAATCTCCCCAAAACACATGCTGGCTTCCTTTTTGGGTATGTATGTTTAAACACAGAAAAGGGAAAGAGTTAGCTCTGGCTTTTCTCACTTTATCTCACTTTTATTTTAATACAATTAATTCATTTAATTAAGACTTTACAAGTATGTGAAGGTATAATGTATGAAAATGTTGACTGAACCCCATCACCTTGTATGAAAAGCAAGACTTGTGGAAAGTCAAATGTACTTTTATTGCCCCGT